GCTTGGTTGAGCATGTGATAACAAGAAAATCAGCCACGAGAACTGCTGACACAGTGATGACGACACACACGCTCTTGCGTTTCGCACAAACAAAACACACACACAGTGCTCACCGGACAGCCTCCTCCCAAGTATGAGAGGGTCTTTCATGTTGGCAGCCCCTTTTACAAATCAGCAGTGTAATGTGATTTCCCTGAGCGGTGGCTCCCTCTCCACAGCAACCCTGCGTGTTCTCATCACAACCTATACACCAGTCAGAGAGAAAGATGCTGAAGATTGATGCCCCTCCTGACAACTTATTTATGTCTATTTGTGTTTACTCTGTCAAGCTATACAAGTTGCACATATATATCTCCTTTGTTAGGACCTAAGAGTACCATGCCAACACTATAGCACAGGTCTCTCAGGGTGTGTGATAAAGACACGTCCACTACCACAGATTTACAGGTGTAAAGGACGGTTACGTTTTATGGTTGCACAGGTTTAGTAATTGATTCCAAACGAGGGGAAATCACTCGTGGTACACTGTGTTCTCTGGTGTTGTTTCACTGGTGGCTTCTGTGGTCACTGAGCAGATTCCACAGTCAAGATGCGTTGCAGTCTAAATGCATTTAATATGAAAAATGCATAGGCAGTTACATAAGGATGTGTTTCTAAAGTCTAGAAAAGGTAGCTTTTTGAAAATTGGATGTTGTTTGCTGGCACCAGTGATCTGAGTATAAAAGCTTTATAGGCATGGCTTCACACAGCATGAAATATTATCTAACCCCTTATTAAAACAATAAAAAATACAGCAGTAGGGAGTGGCACTGTATTTGAACTAATCTTGAATGTAATTAAAGAGAAAGAAATTGGAAAAACTATTTCTCCATTCCCGATCATCAAGTGAGAAAAGCCTGCAAATCAAATGACATGCTAATATTGATATTTTTTGCTGTATGCAGAAGAAGAAGATTTTCCCTGGTAGAAGAATAGGAGAGTGATATAGAAGACAAGATGATCAGAGACTAAGATTATTGCCATCATCTTGTAGCTCACGTTGCTCACTATAACTAGATTCACCATCCCTGCAGTGCTCAAAAGAGAGAGGAGCATTCTTTGCAGTTTTCAGACCCTCCAAACCAACAGCTGAGCTATTTTTAGCCTAATGTGATCAGAGAACATTGTAACGTTGTATTGCTGCACCGCAGCTCGAAGTAAAGGTAAACACTTACGATGTCACAGAAATAGGAGAGAAAGGAAAGTGAGGTGGAAGATGAAACAGATGGATCTCTCACCCTGTTTGGGTTTTAGTTAACATAGACAACTGTAAATGAGCAATGGCTCCAGGCCCAGTATTTGTCTCTGTCTCATCAGTGTTAAAGTTAGTTATTTCTGGAGCACACACACACACATACAGTATATTGATGAGTCTTGCTGGCAGGCTAAT